GCAGCATGAGCTTCGTTCAGCTAATTATGACACTAATGGGTTGGAGATTCTCAGCATTTTCAATAGCTGAACAATATTTAATATACCAAACAATTTGTGTAACAGATTCAAAAACAATAATTATCTAAAGTTCTGATTTGTTATTTTAGAAAGAATTAAACTTTATACGGTTTAACTGAAAGGAAAGAAGAACCTCATGGGGATATAGTGTGTAAGTATTGCATAAGTGGTCAACAGGTCATTAACTAATTGTCCTCTGAGAGCAATTAATGAAGCAGCACCACTCTGGAGGAAAGACCACACAAACAAAGGTTTCACATTGTAAAAATAATATGAAACTTTTTTAAAAATTTTATTTATTTATTATTTGCCTTCTTTGCCTGACTAGTTGCTGTTAAAAATCTTTAAAAACAGTCAACAGTCTACCACTCTATTACCAAACCACGGTGCATATTATTATGGTACATCCTTTGCAGGGCACGAGACACATTTCCATATGCAGAATGTGGAGGTGTGAATCTTCACTACTCTCACAATTCAATTCAATTACGATTATCACATTAAAGTAAAACCCTAACCCATTCAATAAAATTCGTTGCCTTGATGCATCTCCATTATTTCACATGGTTTTATTTTATCAACTCATTTTTTTATCAAAACCATGTCTGACACAACATGACATCCCTCAAAAATCTTTTTAATAACAAGTCTTTAGGAAAATATAAAAGTGCAAAACACCTTAAACATTTAAAAAACAATACGACTCTTTAGCGCCGCACAGTGCAGAGTAGGTATTGCAACTATGGTAGCCTACATGCATCAAAAAGGCAAGATGTTAACTTCCAGCTTTTACTTCAGCAATCGGGTCTGTTTTTTTAAATAATTGTATCAATTTGATGGTTTAATCATTTGCCAATCCCTCTAGCCTAACACACACAAAACAATTAACCATTACGATTGAGCAATTAAATAAGTAAATAATTAAATAAATGGGAAGATCAAGGCCCCAGCCAGCCATTTGCAATGGCTTAGCAGAGCTGAAGAGAAGCTGCAGCTTAGAGAGCAGAATGCATGAAGCCAAAAAATGCTTAATTATGGATAGTTTTCAGTCAGGCTTTAGACAGCACCACAGCACTGAGACTGCACTGATCAAGGTATTAAACAATATTCGGCTCAACACTGATTCAGGTAAAGCATCTGTCCTGACGATTCTTGACCTCAGTGCAGCTTTCGATATTGTGGACCACAACATCCTTCTGGACAGACTCACAAACTGGGTGGGACTATCAGGCACAGTGCTTGGCTGGTTCCAATCCTATCTCAAAGACAGGGGCCATGTTGTCTCTATTAGGGACTACCAATCAAAGAGGATCACCATGACATGTGGGGTCCCCCAAGGCTCAATTCTAGGACCACCACTCTAATCTCTATACGCTCCCTCTGGGTCAGGTCATACTTAATAACAGCATCACCTATCATAGCTATGCTGATGACTCCCAGATCTACCTAGCCTTATCACCTAGTGACTGTCGGCCACTGGACTCACTCTGTTAGTGCCTAGAGCAAGTAAATGACTGGATGCAATTAAACGTCCTTCAGCTAAACAACGACAAGACTGAAGATATTGTCTTTGGCAATAAGAAGGATAGAATGGATGTTATTGCTCAGCTGGACTCCAGGGGAATAAGGAAAAAAAACCCAGATTAGGAATCTTGGTGTTATTATTGACTCCGACCAGAGCTTCTCTACACATATTAAGGCTATTACTAAATCAGCATTTTATTACTTTCATCAAACGTCAAGAGTCAGAGGTCTCATGTCCAGATCAGACTTAGAGAAACTCATTCATGCTCTTATTTCTAGTCAGCTGGACTACTGCAAAAGTCTCCTAACTGGTCTTGCTAAAAAAGCTGTGAAACAACTGCAGCGTGCTCAGAATGCTGCTGCTAGAGTCTTAACAAGAACTAAGAGAACGGAGCACATCACTCCTGTTCTTAGATCCCTACACTGGTTACCAGGAAACTACAAAATAGATTTCAAAGTGCTCCTACTGGTTTATAAATCACTCAATGGCATGGGACCAAAATACATTTCTGATCTCATCCCTGTATATACACCCGATAGGGCTCTGAGATCCCTTGGAAACAATCAGCTGGTGGAACCACGGGTCAGAACAAAACGTGGTGGAGATGCATTTAGTTACTATGCTGCTCACATATGGAATCAGCTTCCCCTTAACCTCAGATCTGCCCCAACCCTAGTTTTAAAAAAAATCAAAACTAAAAACCCTAATATGCTCACCAGCATTTCAAAGCATTGTTCCTCATGCTGCGTTATCTCGACTGTAACCTGCGCTGTAACTTGGTCTTCTCCTTCAGCTCTAAACTATAATTCTATCTATGTGTATTTCAATTTGTGTTTTATGTTGTTTTCATATCATGTCCTGATAACTGTAAAGCACATTGAATTGCTTCTGTGTGAAATTTGCTCTAAAAATAAAGCTGCCTTGCCTTGCCTTTGGGTGTTTTTCATGAGGAAATTACAGTACAACATGGCGAAAAGCTAAAAAAATTGAGTTAACATGGTATGGTCCCTTCAAACTCAAACTCCTGTCAAAGTAAAATAAAAATCGTGTTTCTGTTTGTGTCAGAACCCTCCTGTGTGGTGATGTAACGCAAGACTCCATTAAAGACTCTTATGTTCTCTATCTGACCTCCTGGTTTGGCGTGTCTATAGATCTGATCATACATGTAAAGACGTAGAACAAAGCAGAAGAAGTTTATTTATACAGCACTTTATACTAGACAGACTAACAAACAAATGTTCTTCTCTGTCTGCTCAGCTCCCTTCATGCGACAGCGAGATACTAGTCTTTGGTGCCAACTGGAATGTGGTTCAACTATCTTGCGTTTCTGCTGCTAATAATACTTTAGGAATGTTTTAACCATAGATACAGTTTTCCTTCCATTTTTATTCATGTACACCTACTTACAAATTTTTCTTGTTTGCTTGAAAAGTTTAACAGAGTTCAAAGGTTAAATGCTGCACAAGTGCCTGCCACACCTCGTTTTCTTCGTCATATTCTCCATCACAAGCTTTTGTGACCTTGCCTTCAGTTGAAACTGGCTGAAGGACATCGTTTGTTTTCCTTCCTTCCTTTATAAATTCTCTTGTGAACGGACAAACTGCCAGATATCAGAAGACACATATTAGGTTGTCACTAGGGAATAAAAGACGACCATTTATGGTATTGCTTTGATTTCCAGAACCTCAAAAAGCATGAATATGGTTTATCCGTGGACAGCAGAGGACGTTGTCGCCCTCTGCTGCCCGCTCTCCCCTCTCCGATGATGCAGTCCCATGCGCGATCCAATGTGTAAACCCCATCGTCTCTGTTCATGGTCCCACATCCACGTCTCCTTATCTCTATAGCTCCTTTTATCCATCTTTTGTATTTCTGTTGTTCGGTGTTTATGATCCTTGTGTTGTCCCAGTCCATTACCTGGTTTTCTCTTGTGCAGTGATCTGTTACAGCTGACTTCTTTATTGTGCTTTCTGCTTCTTGTTTTGCTGCTCTTGTGTATCTTCGACTTGTTTCTTTCTCGCACTCCTTTCTATGTTCTGTTGTTCGTGTGTTGAGTTGACGTCCGGTTTCTCCTATGTATGTTTTATTGCAGAGTTTGCATGGGATTTCGTAAACGACTCCACATTTAAGTCCAGCTGGTATCTTGTCTTTTGGGTGCACTAGTCTGTTTCTAACTGTTGTGTATGGTTTTGTTGGTGTGTTTATGTTGTGTTTTTTCATCGTTGCCCTTATTTTTTCTGTTATGCCTCTGATGTATGGTAGGGTCATCACTGGTTTCGGTTCTTGTCTTTCTGGGTTTCTGGTTCTTTGCTTTTGTTGTTCTTTTCTTTCTGTTGTTGTTTGTTGTTTTCCTTTGTTTATTGCCCATGTCGGGTATCTGCTGTGTTTAAAGCGTGTTGTATGTGTTTGTCCTCTTGTTTACGGTCTCTTTCTTCTGTTACTATGTTTGCTCGGTGATATAATGTTCTGATTACTGACATTTTGTGTATGGTAGGGTGTTCTGATGTCCATAATAGATAGTATTGGTTTGTGTGTGTTGGTTTCCTGTATGTGTTTATGTTTAGGGTCCCGTCAGTCTGCCTGCTTATTTTCATGTCCATTAAAGCTATACTGCCATCTGTTTCTGACTCATAAGTGAACTTTATGCTGCCTGTGTCGTCAATGTTATTCAAGTGTTGTGTTAGCGTTTCTGTTTGTCCTTTTAGTATGATTTCCAGTATGTTGTCTACGTAGGAAGTGACGCCACCATCAGCGTCAGCTCTGAGGATGTTTGCAGAAGCAAACGAAACTGTCAGCAAGGTAAAGAGAAACCTTTTCTGTGTTTTAAAAAAGAACCAAAAATGGAATTAGAAGCCAAACACAGAAAGAACGTACCAAAGATGAATATGGTGTAAAATTAACTTATCAAAGTTGTAAAAGTAAAAAAATAAACATTTCTTTATGTTATGGAAAGTTTGCTTGCCCTATATGAAATGCTTGCTAGGTTTTCTTGTTGCTTATGAAATGAGAAAAGTCATTGAACAATTTTCTACACACCTTTGTATTTTGTCACGCTGGTGGGGATGAGCTACGATGTAGCCACAGCTGCCCTGGGAAGCACTGACGGAGCACCGGCCCCTCTGACCACCACCAGCAGGCAAGGCAGGTTAAGTGTCTTGCCCAAGGACACAACAGCAGAATTTTCTGGTCAGAGCCGGGGTCGAACCTGCAACCTTACGATTACTGGACAACCCGCTCTACCTCCTGAGCTGCTGCTGTCCCTATTATTGTGTTAATAAAATTTTTTGTATGAATTTCCCCACTGTGGAATTAATAGTCTACTCTAATTCTGTTCTATTGTAATGTGTATTCACACAACCCCATAACAAAGCCCTACAAATAATGACTGGTTTCCCCCCGCCCACACACACACACACACACACACACACACACACACACAAACACACACACACACACACACACACACACACACACACACACACACACACACACACACACACACACACTTGGTCTTGAGTAGAAATAAGTGTGATGACATAAATCGAGGCTCCAATAAAGACTCTTACTGTTTCTCTCTTACCTCCAGGTGAGGCGTTTCTGATCATATAATTAACTCAAAGAACAGATTTACTGAGACATGTCTTCTTTAGCTGTACTGAGGGTCGATTAGTTTAATCTCATGTATTGCACTGTATTTAAAGGTCTATTTTCACAGTTCTTCTTATTAAAAGGATAACTGATTTGTATTTGTGTTGCAGCAGACATTCCTAGTAGACAGGATGGAAAACATCACCGTTCCTTTTTATTTTAACCTCACCATGTTTGTGAACATCAGACACTATCGCTTGGTGGCCTTTACGTTTTGTGTGCTGCTGTACAGCTTTATCGTCTCTGCCAACCTGCTCCTGATCCTGGTGATAACACAGCACAGAGCGCTGCACCAGCCCATGTACATGTTCATCGCTCTGCTGTCTCTCAACTCCCTGTATGGCTCTACTGGTTTCTTCCCCAGATTCCTCATGGACCTGCTGGCTGATGTTCATTTGATTTCATATCCTGCTTGTTTCACTCAGATTTATATCATTTACACGTATGCTGTCAATGAACTGACCATACTCAGCGTCATGGCTTATGATCGACACGTGGCTGTTTGCCATCCTCTACACTATTACAGAAAAATCACTCCTAAAACGGTGGTGGTTTTGTCAACGCTGGCCTGGATTTTTCCAGCTTTGGTCGTTTCTGCAGTCATTTCCCTGTCTGCTCAGCTTCCTTTATGTGGCAACGAGATACAGAAAGTCTTCTGTGCCAACTGGAATGTGGTTAAATTATCATGCGTTAGCACTAATGTTAATAATATTTTAGGTATGTTCATAACCATAACTACAGTTTTTCTTCCATTTTCTTATGTGTTATATACCTACTTACGAATTTTTGTTATTTGCTGGAAACGATCAGCCGAGTTCAAAGGTAAAGTGCTGCAGAGCTGCCTTCCACACCTCGTTTCCTTTCTCGTTTATTCCATCACTGGCTTTTGTGACATTGCGTTGAGTCGTTCCAGGCTGGAAGACCTAAATCTCTTTGCTGCTGTGATTTTATCCCTGGAGTTTGTTGTAATTCCTCCTGTTTTAAATCCTCTCGTTTATGGACTTAAACTGCCTGATATCAGAAGGCACATTTTTGAGTTGCTACAGGGGAACAAAAGATGATCATCTCAGACACACAAACAGAATTTATGGTATTGCTTTGATGTCCAGAACCTAAAAGTGTGAATTATATGTAAAATTAACTTTAAAATAAAGAAAAATACATTTTTTTACACTTGAAAAGGTTTGGGTGTGCTCATTAAAGCTTTTTGCCCAACAAAAATATATAAAAGTTTCATGGTGACAAAAATGATAAAAGACGTAAAGCTGTATTTTAGGTCATGCAATAATTTGTTCAAAACTTGAAAAGGCACTGTGGCCTTCAGAGGATCGTCTCTATAGCTAAACCAGTAAGCACAGAGAGAGAAAGTCTTTTGCAGATTACAGAGACACTAAATCTAACTTTGAAAATCCTGTTAGGATGTTGGATTCCCTGGTGGGACAACGTAAAAGTTTTTGCAAATGTGACTTAATCTCCTTGTGGGAAAGAAATGGAGAATTCATGATGGATAATGTCTCACTGATATCCAAAATTACAACGAAACACATGCACAGAAGTTGGCTTAAAATAAATTAAAACTAAGTAGGCTAAAGAAATCTAACCGGTTTTGAGTACAACTTTACTCAATTAAAAAGGCCTGCAAAATACTATATTTTTTTATTTAAAGCAAAAAAAAGTCAAATTTCTATTTTAAGAATTTAAAATATCAATATAAATATAAAGGCACAAGTACACAAAAAGCACTGAAACATTTCAAACACAGTAAATAATTATATTGTTTTTCAAAGTGAGCTGAAGTTTCTTTAACAACCTAATGAAAACATTAAATATTGTTGAGTTATTTATTTGCACACCAAATAAGTTAATGTATTTAGGTTTTGTTTATTTTGTTCTCATTTGTCAAAAGTTCCTTGCTCTGCTGATTTGCTTTACCTGTTGTGACAACCTCTCCATGGGCTGCCACCTTACCGTGGTGGAGGGGTTTAAGTGTCTCAAAGATCCTAGGAGCTAAGTTGTCTGAGGCTTTCTGTCTCTGGTAGGGTCACCCATGGCAAACAAGTCCTAGGTGAGGGATCAGACAAAGAGCAGCCCGAAGACCTCTTATGATGAATTATATAAATGGAAACCATGTTCGCTCGCCCGGACGTGGGTCACCAGGGCCCCCCTCTGGAGCCAGGCCTAGTGTTGGGGCACGTTGGCGAGCGCCTGGTGGCCGGGCTTTCACCCATGGAGCCCGGCCGGACACAGCCCGAAGCGGAAACGTGGGTCCCCCTTCCCATGGGCTCACCACTTGTGGGATGGGCCAAAGGGGTCGGGTGCAGTGTGTGACGGGTGGTAGTCGAGGGCGGGGACCTTGGCGGTCTGATCCTCGGCTACAGAAGCTGGCTCTTAGCACATGGAATGTCACCTCTCTGGTGGGTAAGGAGCCTGAGTTGGTGTGTGAGGTTGAGAGGTTCCGACTAGATATAGTCTGACTCACCTCAACGCATGGCTCTGGCTCTGGAACCAGTTTCCTTGAGAGGGGTTGGACTTTCTACCACTCTGGAGTTACTCCCACTGAGAGGCACCGAGCAGGGGTGAGCATACTAGTTGCCCCCATCTTGGTGCCTGTACGTTGGGGTTTACCCCAGTGAATGAGAGGGTAGCCTCCCTCCGCCGATGTGTGGGGGGACGGGTTCTGACTGTGGTCTGTGCTTATGCACCAAACTACAGTTCAGATTACCCACCCTTTTTGGAGACCATGGAGGGGGTGCTTGAAAGCGCTCCTTCTGGTGTCTCCCTCGTTCTGCTGGGGGACTTTAACGCTCACGTGGGCAACGACAGTGAGACCTGGAGAGGTGTGGTTGGGAGGATCGGCCCCCTGATCTGAAGTCGAGTGGTGTTTTGTTATTGGACTTCTGTGCCAGTCATGGATTGTCCATAATTAACACCATGTTCAGACATAAAAGTGTCCATATGTGCTCTTGGCACCAGGATACCTTAGGCTGCAGCTTGATGATCGACTTTGTTGTTGTTTCGTCTGACCTGCGGCCGCATGTCTTGGACACTCGGGTGAAGAGAGGGGCGGAGCTGTCAACTGACCACTACCTGGTGGTGAGTTGGTTCAGATGGTGGGTGAGGATGCCGGTCAGACCAGGCAGGCCCAAACGTATCGTGAAGGTCTGCTGGGAACGTCTGGCAGAGTCTCCTGTCAGAATGAGCTTCAATTCCCACCTCCGACAGAACTTCCAAAATGTTCCGAGGGAGGCGGGGGACATTGAGTCTGAATGGACCCTGTTCCATGCCTCCATTGTTGAGGCGGCCGACCTGAGCTGTGGTCGCAGGATCGTCTGTGCTTTTCATGGTGGCAACCCCCGAACCCGCTGGTGGACACCGGCGGTTAGGGATGCTGTCAAGCTGAAGACAGAGTCCCATCATGTCTTTTTGGCCTGTGGGATTCCAGAGGCAGCTGACGGGTACCGGCAGTCCAAGCGGAACACGGCTCGAGTGGTCGTCAAGGCAAAAACCCGGGCATGGGAGGAGTTCGGTGAGACCATGGAGCAAGACTTCCATACGGTTTGAGGAGATTCTGGTCCACAATCTGGCACCTCAGGGGGGGAAAGCAGTGCACTACCAACACTATCTATAGTGGGGACGGTGTGCTGCTGACCTCTACTCAGGACATTGTGGATCGGTGGGCAGAATACTTCGAAGACCTCCTCAGTCCCACCGACATGTCTTCCAGTGAGAAAGCAGAGTCTGGGGACTTTGGGTTGGCCTCTCAAATTTCTGGTGCTGAGGTCACTGAGGTGGTTAAAAAGCTCCTCTGTGGCAAGGCTCCAGGGCTGGATGAGATCCGCACGGAGTTCCTTAAGGCTCTGGATGACATCGGGGCCAGTCCCACTGAACTGGCAGACTGAGGTGGTGGTTCCCTTATTTAAAAAGGGGGCCAGCAGGGTGTGTTCCAACTACAGGGGGATCACACTCCTGAGCCTTCCTGGTAAGGTCTATTCAGGGGTTCTGGAGAGGAGGGTCCGTCGGATTGTTGAACCTCAGATTCAGGAACAGCAATGTGGTTTTCTTCCTGGCCGTGGAACACTGGGCCAGCTCTATACCCTTAGTGGGATCCTGGAGGGTGCGTGGGGATTTGCCCAACCAGTCTACATGTGTTTTGTGGATTTGGAGAAGGTGTTTGACCGCGTCCCTTGGGGGGCCCTGTGGGGGGTACTCCAGGAGTATGGGGTACCAGGCCCTCTGATAGGGGCTGTTTGGTCCCTGTATGACGGATGTCAGAGCTTGGTCTGCATTGCCGGCAGTAAGTCGGGCTCGTTCCCAGTGAGTGTCACTGAGCCAAGGCTACCCTTTGTCACGATTCTGTTCATAACCGTTATGGACAGGATTTCTAGGCGCAGCCAAGTTGCGGAGGGTATCCGTTTTGGTGGCCTGAGGATCAGGTCTCTGCATTTTGCAGATGATGTGGTCCTGTTGGCTTCATCGGAACGTGATCTTCAGCTTTTGCTGGAGAGGTTCGCAGCCGAGTGTGAAGCAGCTGGGATGAGAATCAGTTCCTCTATGTCTGAGACCATGGTCTTGATTCGGAAAAGGGTAGAATGCATTCTCCGGGTCAGGGATGAGGTCCTGCCCCAAGTGGAGGAGATTACGTATCTTGGGGTCTTGTTCACGAGTGAGGGAAAACTGGAGCGTGAGATCGATAGGCGGATTGGTGCTGCATTTGCAGTGATGCGGGCGTTGTACCGGTCTGTCGTGGTGAAGAGAGAGCTGAGTCAAGGTGAAGCTCTCGATTTACCGGTCGATCTATGTTCATACCCTCACCTATGTGTCACGTTTCGGTGTTGGTAGGACCCAAAATGCAGGAACCCAAGATGACACAAGGCAGGAGATGATGTAAAGTAAAATCCTTTTATTAGGATGAATGAAACAAAAATATATCCAAATGGGCTGGAGCCAAAAAAACAATATATCCAAAAGAGCTGAGCAGGAGATCAAAACACTCGAGACTAAGAGACACTGGAAGCCAGGAAAACACTAGAGACAACACGAAAAGGCTGACAGACTTACCACAATGGACCGACACAGGACAAAGACAACACAGGGCTTAAATAACAGGGAGGAGGAGTAATTAAGGGAACAGGAAGCAGGTGTGAGGAGTGAGGGCTGGAGGGAAGGCAGGTGACAATAATTACCTAAATGGGGAAACAGAACCAAGGGAGGACAGATAAACCTAAAACTACAAACCCAAACTAAAAGGCTGCGGGAAGGACTAACACACACACACACACACACACACACACACACACACACACACACACACACACACACACACACACACACACACACACACACACACACACACACACATGCACATGCACATATACTGGGCTGGAGAACAAGAGGCTGGAGCTGCAACTGGAGGGACAGAGGATAACTAAATGAACACCGGACCTGAGAGAATGATAAAAAGGCCTACAAACAGAAGACACAATATTGAGACGCAGACAAAGGACACATGAGGGCGCTATGAGACACAGAAGGGAAACTAGAGAGGATGGAGAAACATCAGGAGACACATAAAGGAGGGGGCAGACGCAGACCATGACAGTACCCCCCCAAGGGGTGGATACCAGACGCCCAAACACGAAACAAACAGCAAGCACAAGACAAAACACAGAACACGAGAAAACCAGAGGGAGGGAGAGGAGGGAACGAACAAAACACAACCCAAAAAGGGCGGGCAAGGAGGGAACAGGAGACCCCGGGAGACCGGTGACAGGGGACCAAGAGGTGGGACCCGGGAAGCCTAGGGGGCCGGCGACGGGGGACCAGGAGGTGGGACCAGGGAAGTCTCGGGGCCGGCGACGGGGGACCAGGAGACGTGACCAGGGAAGTCTCGGGGGCCGGCGACGAGGGACCAGGAGACGGGACCAGGGAAGCCTAGGAGGCCGGCGACAGGGGACCAGGAGACGGGAACAGGAAACCCTGGGGACAGGGGGTTTTAGAAGAGGAGGACGAGGAAGGGTCTCTGGAGACGGGGACTGTGACTGGAACACTTGAGACTTGGGAGACTGGAACACTCATGACTGGGAGACTTGACACTTGGGAGACTGGAACACTCGTGACTGGGCGACTTGAGACAGGAACACTTGTGACTGGGAGGCTTGAGACAGGAACGCTTGTGACTGGGAGGCTTGAGACAGGAACGCTTGTGACTGGGAGGCTTGAGACAGGAATGCTTGTGACTGGGAGACTTGAGACTTGGGAGACAGGAACACTTGAGACTTGGGAGACAGGAACACTTGCGACTGGGAGACTTGAGACAGGAACACTTGCGACTGGGAGGCTTGAGACAGGAACACTTGCGACTGGGAGGCTTGAGACAGGAACGCTTGCGACTGGGAGGCTTGAGACAGGAACGCTTGCGACTGGGAGGCTTGAGACAGGAACGCTTGTGACTGGGAGGCTTGAGACAGGAACGCTTGTGACTGGGAGACTTGAGACTTGGGAGACTGGAACACTTGAGACTTGGGAGACTGGAACACTTGAGACTTGGGAGACTGGAACACTTGAGACTTGGGAGACTGGAACACTTGAGACTTGGGAGGCTGGAACACTTGCGACTTGGGAGACTGGAACACTTGCGACTTGGGAGACAGGGACACTTGTGACTGGGAGACAGGAACACTTGCGACTGGGAGACTTGAGACAGGAAACGGGGAGACGTCCACTTCAGAGCTGGAAACGTCCACTTCAGAGCTGGAGACGGGAACGCCTACTTCAGAGCTGGAGACGGGAACGCCTACTTCAGAGCTGGAGACGGGAACGTCTACTTCAGAGCTGGAGACGGGAACGTCTACTTCAGAGCTGGAGACGGGAGGCGTCGACCCTTGGACCGGAGCCTCGTGGACGGGCTGGACCGGAGCCTCGTGGACGGGCTGGACCGGGGCCTCGTGGACGGGCTGGACCGGGGCCTCGTGGACGGGCTGGACCGGGGCCTCGTGGACGGGCTGGATCGGGGCCTCGTGGACGGGCTGGACCGGGGCCTCGTGGACGGGCTGGACCGGGGCCTCGTGGACGGGCTGGACCGGAGCCTGTGCGTTCTCCACCGCCGAGGCAGGATGCGATGAGTCTTCTTGGACCACCGCCGAAGCAAGATGCGATGCGTCCTCTTGGACCACCGCTGAGGCAAGATGCGATGCGTCCTCCGGGACCACCGCAGAGGCAGGATACGATGCGTCCTCCGGGACCACCGCCGAAGCAGGATGCGAAGAAGGTAGATGGGTTCAGATGCGGGTCGCAGAGCAGGGGCCTCTTCAGTAGGCGTCACAGCTCTGGCGTCTGAGGATTTATTTAGTTCAGTCCTGGGTGGCAGAGCAGGGGCCTTTGGAATAGGCGGCACAACTCTGACTGCAGGAGAACGCTGGTGATGGCGGCGACGTCGACCGCGGGCGCGGCTCTTGGGAGGAGCTGGAATGACGTCAGCAGGTACAGCGGATGAGATACAGCCCACCGGAGAGGAAGTGGTGGCGCTGTCAGGACCAGGTGAGGGTGTGGCGGTGTGACCCCTCTGAGAAGCTGAGGTGGCATCAACATGCATAGATGGAAATGAGATGACTCTGGTTCTGACGGTCTGAGACGGGGAGGTGGAGCTGTCAGGACCAGGCAGAGATGTGGAGGTGTGGCGCTTCTTAGATGCTGAGAGGGCAGCTCTTAGCACGGCGCTTGCTGACAGGTTATGACTCCTTGGAAAGAAGAGAGCTTGTGGGCTGCTGCAAGCGTCCTGCAGATCCTCAGCAAAATCCCAAAAAACCATATCCTCTAAAGGATATTGCTCAAGGTAATGGTTGGCCCATTGTAGGGCTCTTCCCCTGAGGAGGAGCACAGTGTTAACTAATAAGTCAATGTCTGAAGCGTCCGGGCCATAAAACCGCACCACATCCAAGAAAAAAGTCAGACAGGAGTCCAGGTCTCCATAAAAGTTGTACAGCTGGGTAATCTGCTGGGTCCTGAGTGGTCGGTCCATTCTGTCACGTTTCGGTATTGGTAGGACCCAAAATGCAGGAACCCAAGATGACACGAGGCAGGAGATGATGTAAAGTAAAATCCTTTTATTAGGATGAATGAAACAAAAATATATCCAAATGGGCTGGAGCCAAAAAAACAATATATCCAAAAGAGCTGAGCAGGAGATCAAAACACTCGAGACTAAGAGACACTGGAAGCCAGGAAAACACTAGAGACAACACGAAAAGACTGACAGAATTACCACAATGGACCGACACAGGACAAAGACAACACAGGGCTTAAATAACAGGGAGGAGGAGTAATTAAGGGAACAGGAAGCAGGTGTGAGGAGTGAGGGCTGGAGGGAAGGCAGGTGACAATAATTACCTAAATGGGGAAACAGAACCAAGGGAGGACAGATAAACCTAAAACTACAAACCCAAACTAAAAGGCTGCGGGAAGGACTAACACACACACACACACACACACACACACACACACACACACACACACACACACACACACACACACACACACACACACACACACACACACACACACACACACACATATACTGGGCTGGAGAACAAGAGGCTGGAGCTGCAACTGGAGGGACAGAGGATAACTAAATGAACACCGGACCTGAGGGAATGACAAAAAGGCCTACAAACAGAAGACACAATATTGAGACGCAGACAAAGGACACATGAGGGCGCTATGAAACACAGAAGGGAAACTAGAGAGGATGGAGAAACATCAGGAGGGGCAGACGCAGACCATGACACTATGGTCATGAGCTTTGGGTAGTGACCGAAAGAACGAGATCACGGATACATGCGGCTGAAATGAGTTTTCTCCGAAGAGTGGCTGGGCTCTCCCTTAGAGATAGGTTGAGAAGCTCGGTTATCCGGGAGGGGCTGGGAGTAGACCCGCTGCTCCTCCACATCGAGAGGAGCCAGTTGAGGTGGCTCGGGCATGTGGAGTCCTGGACTCCTCTCTGGTGAGGTTTTCCGGGCATGTCCAACCGGGAGGAGACCTAAAGGTAGACCCAGGACACGGTGGAGGGACTATGTCTCTCCCCTGGCCAGGGAACGCCTTGGGATTCCCCCGGTGGAGCTGGCCCAAGTGGCTGGGGAGAGGAAAGTCTAGGCCTCTCGCGTTAGGCCACTGCCCCCGCGCCCCGACTCCAGATAAGCGGATGAAAATGGATGGATGGATGTTGTGACAACCAACGAGATTGCTTTCAGCACCGCATAAAAGATGTGACTGGAATAATAAACTCCTCCCTCCTGTGAATGAAAGCTGACGTGTCCGTATGGTTTGTTTTTCTCCGTCAACCCTGATGATGACAACCTGGGAATGTTGACCTCTGCTAACAATTATAATTTCGAGTTGGACTCATGAATAACAACCCTAGGACTGCTCATGCCAGTCTCTTGACCGTGTTGTCTTCACCTGACTGTTGCGCTCTGATCAGTACCTACGCTTGTATATATCAGTTGTTTTTCTAACTATTGCTCCTCTATAATATTGTTTTATTGTGCTTATTTCATATTTTGCACCAAGTTCTGTAGCAATTTCTTAAAGTTGTGAACCTGCTCACACATATGGCAATAAACCCTTCTGATGGGCTCGGCACACGGGTGGCGACATCGCCTCTCCTCCATTCATTTTCAATGAGACAAGCGCAACAAAGCGATAATTGCGGGTCTCCCTCCTATCAAGAGAAACGCAAAAAACGTGCGTGTGAAATTTTGCGCTCGTGCACGTGTCATGCACAGGCGACCCAGCGACGCGATCCCAGAAAGTTGAAACATTTTCAACTTTTCATCGCTGTCGCTCGGACGAGGACCAATCAACGGAGGTTTCATTCACTGACCAATGGGCGGACAGGATGCTCCGTACACCTCCGAGCAAACATGGAGGAGAAGTTGATTATTATTATGTTTTATAGTAAAATCAGAAGTAAGATTTCACATAACTCTATCAGCACCTTGTGAAACATCATATCTACCACTTTTTTAACTCTGAACCGCTTAAATAACCTTAATTCTCTCCAACCTGACACAGCCAAACAAAACAACGGAAGTTTCGATTTCGCCACGGAACAGAACGCGTAGACGGCTTTGCCGCGGGTCGCCTCCCGTGTGTCAGCTAATAAAAGCGACAGCGATAAATGCCGCTGATCGCGGTCGTTTGTCGCCTCCCGTGTGTCGAGCCCAAGAGTCTGATTCTAGAGCATCAGCCTGGATAAATATGTACACAGTCAATTTCAGTCAATTTCATAATTTTACTTTTTAAATCAACTAATTTTGTTTTATTAAATATTTCTACTGTTATTAATGTGTTTACAGTCCCTCTGGCCTAATAAAGCATCATGTTTATGCTGCTTTGTGTAATTTCAGCAGCGCGTCTGCGGCAGGCTCCTGATTGGCTCCATGAACCAGTTAGCAGAGTCTGAGCAGGTATTAACATCATGTAAGCAGAGGAGAGTCAGAGTGAGTGAAGCTCCACTCTGTGGACTGAACCATGTCGTAACGCCTCACAGGAAGCATCAGGCGGTCTGAACTCTCCTCTCTGAGCATGGATAATGTTTCTGTGGTCAGAATTTTCACCCTGGCAGGTATAAACGAGACAATGGACTACAGGATCGCCATCTTCTCACTCTCTCTGATTTACTACTGTGTGATTTTGTTTCTGAACTTCTCGCTGGTGTTTATCATTGTCCTCGATGAGAACCTGCATGAACCCATGTACGTTTTACTCTGCAGCATTTGCATTAATGCCGTTTACGGCACCACGGGTTTCTACCCTAAATTCCTCTTTGATTTATTCTCATTTTCACAAGAAATCTCCTACGAAGGTTGTTTGCTGCAGGCCTTTGTTATGCACTCGTATGCTTGCTGTGATCTGTCCATCCTGGCGGTCATGGCCTATGACAGATATCTGGCCATTTGTCACCCGCTGCACTATCACTCCTCCATGACGAGGAGGAAGCTGGCCCAGCTGATCACCTTCTCCTGGCTGACTCCCTTCTGTATTTTGTCCCTCGGTATTCTGCTCGCAACCCAACTGCAGCTGTGCAGCACCAAGATTAAGAAACTGTTCTGTGTGAATTGGACCATTGTTCAGCTTGCCTGCTCACACAGCAACACCTTTTCAAACGTGATCATTTCATATGCAGCAATCATCATTTATGTGTCTCACGGCATTTTCATCATGTGGACTTACATGTGTCTTGTTAAGACATGCACGAGGTCCAAAGACAACAGGGTGAGGTTTATGCAGACATGCGTGCCTCATTTGGTGTCTTTGGTGATGTTCTTGGTTGTGGTTCTTTTTGATTTGATGTACATGAGGTTTGGCTCCACAGATTTACCTCAGAGCCTCCAGAACTTCATCGCTTTGGAGTTTCTAGTCCTCCCTCCGCTGATGAACCCTCTGATTTATGGATTCAAACTGACCAAAATACGAAACAAAATCATGAGTTTAGTTTATGTTGACGTGCTGCTTTAACACATTCTTGCTTTATTGATCCTGAGCAGAACAGTGATCTGCTTTCAGCACGTTACTCTGCTTTTGTCAAACATTTATTTTGTTAGTTTAGTAAGAAATCCAGGGAAAAGCTTGCTGAACTGCATGCAAAAACAAAATTTATACTGACCTTCAGGACCTGAAGAACCAAGCTGGACCTAAACAGTTTCTCACACACCTTTGTTGCTGTGTGCACTAACATATAAATGTAATTTGATGCATGTTGTATGTAAAGCCTGGTGCTGCTGCCGGATTTAATGTAAAATGTACATTTGTGTTACGTGATGGTTACTCATACTGATCCAGGTTCAGCTGGAGGTTTCTTCCTTTTCTCTCCAAGGTCGCTACATGCTTGCTTAGGATGAGTGATTGCTGTGAAGTCAGCAAGTCAGTGACTCAATATAATCTGCTGGGTTTCCTTAAATGGGAAACTTTATCTAATTGGCATAATGAACTGAACTTAATACAATAATAAGTAGGTTAATTTGAAATGTATACTTTGTGAAGTGCCTTGTGATGACTCACTGAACCGAACTGATCTTAAATCTGAATGTTTCAGATCAAGAAGCCAAGATTTCTTCTTTTTGGAGTAAAATGTGCGGCACTGTGGACTTAAATCTGCTCATAAAGATTATATCTGTGGTTTTCTGTAGCTTTTGATGAGTCATTAAAGGGATATTTTACAACTTTTTCACATTTTTAAGTCTTTTTCTTGAGCCAGTACTTGCTAAAATGACCCTTTACAGCCGGGGTATTCGATTCCAGGCCTGGAGGGCCGGTATCCAGCATGTTTTAGTGGTTTCTCTGCTCCAACACACTTGATTCAGTGGTTGAATCAGCTCATCAGGCTCTGCAGAAGCCTGTTAATCACCTGCTGATTGAAATCAGGTGTGTTGAAGCACCACTTTCTCACACCCAAAGCGTCAATATATGACGAATCGGGATGCCCCAGCGCGTCAGGAGACGACGATCAGGGACACACTGATGACGCACCGTCCCAGAGCGTCTGTATCCAACGCCGGTGGCATTAGAACGACTTGTGAACTACTTAACCTTCCCCTCACCCCAATCCTAACCTTAAGGTCACAGTTACTGACCTTAAGGTTAGGATTGGGGTGAGGGGAAGGTTAAATAGTCGAATAATGTCCGTGTGACTGCGGGCATCAAACACTGACGCCAGCAGAGCCGCGTGTCCCTGATCGTCGTCTCCTCCCGATTCGTCATATATTGATGCTTGGTCACACGCGTCATATTTAGTTGCTTTGGGTGTGAGAATGTGTTGGTTGAAGCAGGGTTATAGCTGAAACGTGCTGGATAACGGCCCTCCAGGCTCAGAAATGAATACCTGCTTTACAGGGTTATCAAAAGGCCACCCAACCCCATCACCCCCTTTGGCCAGAATCATCCACTTGCAACTTCAGACTGGCGGGCGCTCTGTTGGGACTTAGAAAAGACTAAGCTGAAATACCTGGTGCTGCAGTCTGGTTCCAGCATGTTTCCTGCATGTTTTAGATCATGAACGCATCTGATTTGTTCTATTTAGTGATGAATCGCTCCTGTAGACACCAAGGAAGGCTGGGGAGTTCAGCTGTTAGATTAGTGTTAAAAAGAGGAACGCACAGCGAGGAGATAGGTTTTGCTTTCGGTTCTACAAATGAACACTAGGGGGTGCTAAAGGCAAGCCAAAACTGCCTAGTTCCCCTTTGAAACTGATTTTAAAGAGAAAAATGTGGCGTTTCATCTGTCTGTGAACTTTTATTATATTTACAAAACAAAAACACAAACGCTTAACTGTAATTTGAGTTTTTAATATATTTTAGGATAACCTAGCCCAGAAAATTCCAGCTTTGCTACAGACAGAGTACATCCAGAGCTGGCCCAAGGCAAACGTGAGTTAAGCAACTGCTTGTTACATTGTGAATCCTAGGAGTGTTGAATTATCTGGTGTTGACTTGTTGGTATGGGGGCCCCAAAACAAAACTGGCACAGGGCTTCACAAAGGCTTGGGCCGGTGTCGGTGCAGGATCGGCTTGGGGTCCTTCGACTGCCGATGACGTCACATGACTGCAAATCTACTCGGCTTTCACACACACGTTTTGGAAAGACATCAGCAGTTTTGTTAATAAATTCTTGTTTGTTAACACCTAAATGTTTTCTTTATAATTGTAATTTGTTATAAAACACCATATTATCTTTGTTTTGTAAAGAATGTGAAACTGCATAAAACCAACATCGGACTGACAACAAACAATAGAACAGTTCTTATATGTGAAGCCACATCTGTTAGTATTAATGTGGAGTTCGTCTGCATATTTCCTTAGTTGTTATCTAAATACATTCTTTGACTCAAAATGGTGTCTTTGAATAAAGTTCTTATATTTTATTTTGCCCCATTTCATCAACATCAAGAGCTTTTGAGGGTCACCGTTTATCATTTGCTTATATTTTACATTTCCTTTAGAAATTCAAACATATTTTCTCCAAAAAGTGTTGATTTTTGGACTACAGGACTACAACCGCTAAGACTACGACCGCAAATTTGTTCTGACCAATCAAATCAGAACGTGATAACGTCACTTCCGTAAGCTTCATGTTCAGCCAGTCAACTACTCTGATGTCATCGGCAGTCGAAGAACCCCGAGCAGATCCTGCACCGACACGGGCCAGGTATATCACATAAAACTTTCATTAAAAACATCTAGACGGTCACTTTACCTGCAACTAATAAATACAAATTGTTCAGAAGTCCTAAATGAGCTTGAAGCACATCCCAGAGTGAATGCAGTGTGTTTTTAATCAGGAGCATCCAGAGGTGTTTCCTAGGTTGCTCCTTGGTCCTTCCCCTCTTGGGACCAGACGCTTTGCACCAGTAAGATCCCCAGAGCGGCTCCAGTTGCAGCCCAGCACGCCCATTTGATGTTCATCCCTGAGGGCGACCTGATGGAAGCAACAAAGGCCCCAATCGCAGACCCCAGCACTGCACCTCCAACTCTCAACCTAGTTCGATCGGCCTCCAGCTGCTGCTCTTGGATCCCAGTTTCTGTCTACCAGAAATTGAAAACAGACGTTTAAGGAAGCAAAGAGAGGAAACAAATCACTCTGGCTGTTTTTATGGGGTGCCATTTCTAAAGTCAGACAGCAATATGTTGGGTTATTTAGCTTATCAGAAAATTTTTTTTATTCAAAGTCAGATTTTCACCATGTTATTCATACATTTATATGTGTTAACCAATTATTTAGTTAGCAAGCTAAATATTTAATTATAAGATTATAAGAGTTAAATATTTATTTTACAAATGAAATATTTGTCAGACCTAAAATAAATATTTCATTTACTAAATAAATATTTAACCAAATAAATTGGGAGCTGCATATTTAGTTTACAAACTAAAAATCTGACTCCCAAGTACAAATTTATTGTCCAAATTAAATATTTAGATCTCATCTAAATATTTATTTTGGGACAAAACCTAATTATTTATTTTGCAAAGTAAATGTTTATCTTCAAAATAAATATTTAGCTGGGATCTAAATATTTTTGGGGGAAAATAAATATTTAATTTGGAACCAAACACTGAGCTTGTAAACTAAATATATTTAGCTCCAAATTACATATTTAGTTAGTAAATTAAATATTTATTTTACAAACTAAATATTTAGGTCCGACCTACATACCGTAACATACATAAAATGTATGAGTGACATGGTGAAAAAATAATTTAGAAAAATTAACTCCCACTTTTTTCTCCTATGATGACTAACCCAAAAATACTGCTGTTGAATTAAATTACGACTCTTAGACTTTACAGAGGGCACTCCGTAGTTTCTCACCTTCATTCTGCAATCATCCCACCCTGCCGGCCTTTTCTGACCTGCTTCTGCAACTTAAAGACACATCAGTGGCTTTACTTTAAGTTTCCTTGAATAAAAGGAAACTGAACTTCTTCAGCTCTGCACTAAAAAATGCTAATTTAAGAGTTTTCTGGGAATATTTGATTAGAGATGAAAGAAAGCTTCAGGGTAAAAGAAAGAAGATTTATTTTGTTATTGCACTTTTAAAACGTTGGTTTTAAGTCATCCTCTAGCCTCTACTCACCAGGTTTGATGGCGTCTCTGTAGGGACGCGATGAGACTGTGGACGCCCATTTTTGCTGCCTGCTAAGCTCCAGAGATTTGATGCTCATCGTTGTTTTATTTAGCTGCTGGTGGTTATAAAAGGACACCGCTGCCTCCGTCGGTTCCTCTGTCTGAAGGTGCATTTGCATCTCTTCAATCGTTGCCTTCAGCAGAGTCTCCTCGTTCTCCCTCCTGATCTGCTGAATCGTCCCTCTGAGCTCCTCTGATTCTCTTTTGTGATTCGTCTTCGTTTTGTTCAGCTCTTGATCTTTTCTCTCACACAGGGTCCTTAAATCTGCTTTTTCTTGCTCTTGTTCTTTCACCCGTTCCTTTAGTTTTTTGTTTTCCACCTCACCTTTTTGCTTTGCGGATTTTAAAAGCTCATCTTTCACGGCGCACTCCTCACTCAGACTTCTTATCTCGTCTTGTTTCGAGTTGTTCTCCCTTTCCAACAATCTCATTCTAAACTCGCCGCTTTGCTGTTTTTCTCTCAGCTCTTCTAAAGTTTTCCTGAGAACTTCGACCTGATCATCTTTCTCTTTGGTTGACTTAATCAAGTCCTCGTTTGTTTGTTCTTTGTTTTTAATCGTCTGCATGAGGAGATCCTTCTCAGCCTGCGTTTTCTGAAGCTTCCTTCTCATCTTTTTGGATTTTTGCTCCAACTTCCTGTTTCTTTGCTGAAAATCAGCAAGACTCCGTACCAAACGTTTGGTATCATTCTCCATCTCCGTCTCTTCTATCCTGTCCAACAGCTCTCTAACCTGAGAGTCTCCAGCTGTGTTCGTGTTGTCGAAGACGTGAAACCTGTCCCCACATTTGTCCACGAGCCACTGCAGGGCCGGCCACGTCTCTATGTGCTCCTCAATGGAGGCGCTCCCCAGTTTGTCCCCCCATGTGAAAAGCACAATGATTCGAGTCCAAACCCAAGGTCCGAGGAGCTTCAGGTGTTCCTCCACTCTCCTCCTGTCAGTTTCAGTGAAGGTCTCGTCGCTGCGTAGGACCACCAGGACGGCGTGAGGAGTGGGACTGCACAGAGACAGAGAGCGTGAGATCTGTCCCTGCACCTCCTCTGGAGTGTCTTCGGAGCAGTACCGTCCATGCCAGCTGGGAGTGTCCACCACACACACCCTCCTTTCCCCAACAACACCCTGTCTCTCCATGCACTTCAACGTCAGACGTCCTGAAAGACAAATGTCCTCGCCGAGGAGGGTGTTAACTGCTGAGCTCTTGCCAGCGTGCTTCGGTCCCACGACGACAATTTGAAGCACAGAAAGAGAAGGAGATCTGTCTGGAGTCAGAAGAACGGCATCATTAGTGATTGAATAGAAGGTCCTGGTGGAAACAGAGAACAGACGAATGATGCATACCCACGTCAGATCTGAGTGTCCTTCTGGTCCTTTGCACCTCCTTCTGTCTGAAGGCAGCCCTCTCCTCCACCTCTTTCCTCATGCTGCCGTTCATCTTAGAGAGTTTTTCCCTTAAAGCCACAAAACCAGCTCCTCCTGCCTTCTTGTTTACTCCAACCATCTCATCAATCTTCTTCAGCAGGCCTCCAACTTGAGCATCGTCGGCCTCTCCCCAAGCGCTTGTGTCTAAAAGGTGGCATCTATGTGCACACTTCTCCAGGAGGACTTTAAGGAAATCATACTTAGCAACGTGACTTTCTACAGATGTTCCTCTGAGCTTCTCATGTTTAGTGAACACCACAATCGTGCTTCTCCACAGAGAGTCGTTCAACAGTTGGAGAGGTCCCTCCACGGTCCACTCCCAGCCTCGGTGCGAGCCGATGGGGATGATCATGAGGAAGGCGTGAGGCCCAGGCGGACACATGCAGGACTCCAGGTTCACGCTCACGAGACTGAGGTCCGGGACGGCGGAGGGAAGCCACCTCTCAGGGGTGCTGACGACTACAGCCTTCCTCCCGTCTGGGAGAACAGCCTGCCTCCTGACACACATCTTCACGTCCCTGCTGATGTCAAACATCTGTCCGCTGAGGATGACGTTTCCGACCAAACTCTTCTCCAGCCAGCTGTGTCCAACCAGGATGATTCTAACCTCCTCGAGACCACCTCTGTCTCCTGTCAGCAGACAACATGGTTTAGTTTCTCACCGATCCTCCTGAGATTGCTCCAGTGGATAATTATTAACACCCACTGCTGTCAAAAACAAACCTTACCCGTCTTGGCTTGTAATTTCAGGGCCATTGAACCCCTTCCTTTGTCTTCCTCTCTTTTAAAATGGGAGTTTAAATCTGATCAGGTACGACAACGGAAAGCTGAGCTTCAGCCGGTCACTCTGTGTGCAGCCGGGGTTCAAAGTCCAGCCGGTGTGACGCTGTTCAGGAGAAATATCATGTCATTACCACACAAAGCAGCTTTGGAGCTTTGATTAAACTGCCTTAAACTCATTAAGGTGGGGTTTTAACAGCATTTCTGCGTACTTCTCGCCTGGAGAAGAAGCTTAACAAGTTTGCTTTATGTTGCCACAACAGGTGTCTGAAACCACGTGGTTCTGAATGCTCCTCTGAACTTTGTTTACATTTAAACTTGTTTAATTCAATTCAAATTCAAAAATACTTTGCTAATCCCAGAGGGAAATTAGAGTTCAGGAAGGAATTAGAGGGGAAATAAACGTGTTTATATTTAATCTTCCGCTGTAGAATGGCAAATATAATCATTTTAGTGAGTATAAATAACGAAAAACTCAAAGAAATGTGCCTAAAATGCATCAGTCAGCTTTAAGGTGAAGCTAATAGTTAGCTTGCTCCCTACTTTGTTTTTGCAAGTTTCTGATATTCCTATCAGTGGCTAATGTAGGAAATGGGGTAAAAAAACATTTTCACATTTAACCTGCATTTTAAGCTCGGTAATCGTATTTTAAAATAATAAAGGTTTCTCTGTGAACTTGTTAAAATATTCGAGCCAAACTGTTGTTTGTTCTGCAAACGTACTGACCATCACCAACTTTTATGTCAAATTATTGCTATACAGAAAATTATTACAACACTGAGGAATACAGAAATTTAAATATCAACTCGATCTATTATCTTTAGATGGTAAATTTGACTTTTAGCTATAAAAAACTGACCTTTCAAAAATAAAATGCAAATGTCAAAACTTCAGATTCTAGTCTTTTAAAATGTTTAATAACTAAAACAGTTTAAAAATCCTTTAAAAAACAGATTATTGACAAGAAATTATAATAACAGACAAGAATGACACGGTGAACTTCCCCAGAAAGCCTCTTTATTCCGATTCAGAGTCAATGCCACAGCCGTTGCAGTTTCCAGTCTGTGAAGGATCCCTGAGTCAGAAAACAACTCGATTCTTTTGACGCACACATCATGCAAAAAGTGACTAGAGAAGTGGTGATGACTACTCCTAAAGCCTGGGAGGAAAAACTGCGTTGTGGTGTGTGTGGTTTCCAGTGACAGAGGCATTGTGGGAGACCGAGCACGCCGGTCGGGAATCATCTGGTGAGACCCCTGGGATTCTTCTTCTGTGGTACATTCAGCTGAAGCCTGAAAAAAGCAGCATCATTCTCATGAGCCACTGAACGAGCAGCAAGAGCATCTAGGCCGCTTTTCTACGGGCATCGTTATTTACATTATATACACGTTTGTTCAGGCTCTTCCAGGTTCCTCTGGATCTCTGCTGGAGATCGTTCAAAAGGCCTAAAAAGCAGCTAGCCATCTTCTCTAAAAGTGAAGCATCACATTCATCAGTTTATGTACCAGTCTGGTGGCGCGGTGATGGGCTCCTGTTGAAGCTTGTGGATGTTTTATGGTAAATTAAAGGTGAACGGATGCCGTGTGGGAACAGGAGATGGAAGAACCGCCTCAGACGCTTCCTCCCACCTTCAACAGCTGCACGCAGGAAGAAACTCACACAGATCCAAAGAGGTCCATAGAGGGAGAGCTGCTTTGTGATTAAACCCTTTAATAATCTCGTGTTTAAACTGAAGAAAACATAAAAATAGAAAGGCAAAAAAGCTGCTGCAGGAGGTGCCGCTACGCCATGCGTCTACGCTAGCCTCGACTCACGGGTCACCAAACAGTATCGTCAGAGGAGTCGTGTAACGACATTAGAAACCTCAAGAGGAAAACATTTTTGTAGATTTGGAGCAGAAATTTCAGACGAAAGAAAAGAAGGGGTGGACTAGACGAGTTTAAGGAAAAAAGAACATTTTTAAACTCCAGATGACAAAATTAAACTGTAAAATAATTTCAAATAAACAGAAAATCTCACAATCCTTCATAAACGACTGGACATTTGCTAAAAAGTCAAAGATTTGAATAATTTTCTAACATTTTAATTTCAAACCTTCAGAACCAAAGAAGGGAAAATCTGATCAGACGGGAATGATTAGAGACCACTGAAGGGCAAACACACACACACACACACACACACACACACACACACACACACACACACACACACACACACACACACACACACACTTTTTAAAAATAAACAAACCTCCCTTTAGGCCGACTTTAAAGATTCAAAGTTCCTTTAATTAAACAAAAGCTAACTCATCAACAACAAAACCTCCGATTTCCATCTAAACGTTTAATCTTCATTAACATATAAAAGAAAAACAGATTCAGTTTTCTCCAGATTAACTTGTGACGCATAAATCCACCCGATGATGACGCATGCTCGCTTTCTGTGATTTATTGCAACGTGAAGAGAAGAAACATGGCGCGTGTCGCCTCTAGGGGGCGGTGAGTGAGCGTTCCCTTGCCCGGGCAGGCTGGATTTAAGGCAAAGGTTAAAAACATAATCCTAGTCTGATAACAGAGCTGAGGCTACATAGAGACGCGGCGACCTTTTCCCGGCAATCCCTCCACCGAGCTGCGTGAGGAGGCTGAAGGGCTTCTTGTTGGAATACGGTCACATTTAGGAGGACGGAGGTGTCTGGATGGAGAGAGAGACTACCAGCGTGTATGAAGGTGAAAACGGAGATGAGACCGTGAAAGAGTAAAGATGGATGCTTTAGGGGAGACCTGCAACAGATGGCAGGTGTCCTTGATGAGGACAGTTTTGACATTCAGAGCCCTTGCTGTAGCTTTAACAGACACCAGCCTGCTTCAGGTCACCGGGGGGGTCACACAGGAGTGATGACGCTCCGCTTCGTTCATACTTAAACATTTATTGGACATATTTGAGCATTTAAGGAGATTTTTCCTGATTTAGGGAGCGGAAGTAAATCTGGTGTCAAGCGACCCGATTAAGGAAACGCCAGGCTGGGCCTCAAGGCACCGATTTCCATTGCAAGTCCCTGTCACCGAGGAAAAGGACACAGATGTCCTCCGTGCTGGGGATTTGTGTGTGTGTGTGTGTGTGTGTGGGGGGGGGGTCTCTAGAGGCAGGCAGAGAGAAGAAAAACAAAAAGATGAATTAGCGTGTGCTCGGAGCTAAAAGCAGCAGCAGAACGTCGGCCAGTGCAGCTGACAGAAAACTGACGCTCAGAAATATTAGGAGCTTGATCTCGTGTTTCTGGGATTTAACGGGATTTTAACAGGATCTGGATGGAATAAGAAAGATGCTAATGTTGCAGAATTAGATCGCACCCCTCTCTTATTCTGTAAAACACCAGAGAGCTCAGATCCCAGACCTTCTGTCTCTCTCTCCGACTCGGGTGTCAGTTATGTTTTCACAGGTGGGTCTCCTCCCCGGCTGGCCGATGGAGCCAACAGGTGGAGAACAGAGCTGGGAGGGGGTGGGGGCGCCGCGGGACGGCCGTACAAACGACCGAACACACAGTTTAGTTCTGTTTCTTGGCCTCCTGGTTTCCGTAACTGGAGCCTGTTTTCTTCACCTCTGTGACCCCGATGAGACGACGGATTGCTACGGAGGCTGGGGAAAGAAAAGAGAGGCGAATGAGGACAAGGAGAGACCCGGACTAAACGTTTGGGACATCTTTCTTTAATCAGACCAGAAAGGCTGTGTCAGGTTTCAGTCTAGAAGAGCGGGGCGTGGGAAAGTTTAACCTACCTATGATGAGGAAGAGGATGAAACCGATGATGAGGAGCGGAGACCCGCTGACGACGACGCCACAGGCAAAATTGATGAGGGGCGATAACAGGACGGTGGCCCAAAACAGGGAGTTGAGCAACGTCCAGGGACGGCGAGGCGGGATGATCGTGGGTCCAGGGAACTTGCCCTCTTTGTTGTACTGTTCCTGTAAGGCGTCCTGAGGACAGGAGAACAAACACCCAATTTATCAAATAAGACCTGAAACTGTACTAAACACAAACTTAGAATAAGTTCAGTATCCATAAACCTGAAGAAGATCGAAGACAGACTAAACTGAACCAGCTTTATTTGTAGAACGTGTGTTTAAACACCAGCTTACCTTCTCCTGGTAGAGCCTGTGCAGCCAGCCGGCACACTCCTGCTCGTCTTCTGGGATCTCATCCACGGAAAACCGCCTGGATGGGACAGAGTTAAGGATTATTAGAGTCCATTCCTGTTTTCAGAAATGTGTCAAAAACGTTAGAACTAGGAAAACTACCTTCATTATTCTAGTTTAAAGCCGAGTGATGATGTCATAAATAACGATAAAACAAACGCTGCTCTGACACTTTCTACTTCTGCTGTTATTCTATTTGCACTCAATCGCATCTCTGTCCATGTTATCACTCCATATAGTGATCTGCTAGTCTTCTACAGTGTTCTTTATTCTTCATCTTTGCTCCTGTTGTGAATGGGACTGCTGTTGGGAAACCAGATTTTCCCCACTGAGGCCTGTAGTTGCACGTGTGAACCACTAGAGGGCTCTATGAGACCTGCTAATGAAGCTCAGGCACTAAATCTCTAATCAGAGGTCTTAACTATGAAATTAAAAGAACAAACCCTGATGTGTTCAATCATTTAGTTCATTTACAAGCTTCAGCTTTAAACATAAAATGTGTTTCTTCCAATTAAAACAGAAACCCTTAAGACTTCTTCTTCCGGCTCTTGGAGAGTAGACGCTTTTTTCCTCCTCTCCTCCCCATCTTAACCCAAGGCTCTTCGTCTCTGGGTGTTCGGCGCTTCTGCATTTTTTCTGGAAAACTGGAAATTGAAATGACTAAAATGGACTTGGTCAGTTGGTCTCTCAACAACGCGATTGACAAACTTTTTTCAACAATGAGAACGGGAGAAGGGGCTCCCGGTGCCCCTCTGGGACAGATCCAGTTGGGAATATCATGGACTCCTGGAAACAGTGGAACCTGATCTGCCTCTCTCAACTGTCTGTAGAGGACTCTGAAGACGTCTGGATTGGTGTCAGGTTTCCTGCTTTTTGGCCTGGGAGTTTACCCGGCTTACTGGAAAATTAACGAGCTGTCGAGGAATATTGGTTCTTTCCCCGAGCTCAGGGATGGATTACACCGCGCTGTGAACGCACAGACCCACATAATTATCGAGATGAGTCGTAAGCTTGGAACTTTGGCTGAGATTCATGCATTGGCACAAAAGATGGATGCCATCAAGGAGCGAGTGGACGAATCAGCATGGATTGGAATAGATTAATTTACGTCATTATTGTATTCAGAGGGGTTGAGGACCAACAGAACTTTAAGACAGAGAGGAAACTATCTCTGTCTGGCCCCAAAACAATTTCTTATCTGAATCTGGTGCCCTTGAGCCTGTGAGGCTGAAACGAATACTGAGGTGTTTAAAGCTGCCCTCCCTGTGGAGGGTAACTCTGAAGTGCCTTTTTTTAGCTTTTCATCCACCTCACCCAATCCTCATGTAACCCTCTGATCTCTACTAAGGTAGCGGGACTCGGGTTGCGAATGACCACAGCCACCAATTCTTGTCATGTGTCTATGCCTATGTACGCATGTCTGATCTCAGAATCGTGTGTACTGAAACTCCAGTTTCCCTCTGGGATTAATAAAGTATCTTTGAATTGAATAGAATGACCTGGAACCAGTCCCACTCTGATAAAGAAATCTGAAATTCAGATTATGATAAAAATCTATTAAATGTTTTTATTGTTAACAATGACTGAAAGGTAGATGGAGAACGTTAGATTAACTCACTTAACACACATGTCCGCTTTGTACTTCTTGCCATTGATGATGCCCAGGAGAGTGGGCGTCTGCTTGTCTTTGAAGTTCAGAGTCACATCGTACACCGCCGTTACTGAAAAGCACAGAAAAACACAGTGAACAAAGAAAGTTGTGTTTCAGCTCAATAAACACACACACACACACACACACACACACACACACACACACACACACACACACACACCTGTGCCCTTCAGACGCTGCAGTGTGGTGGTGAATCCTTTGGTTCGGGGTAACAGGTGATACTTGAGCTTTGGTAGGCCTTTACTCTCCGCAACCTGCATACTGATTTGGTGCTTCTTCTCTGTAAAGCGGGTCCCTTCACAGTACAGCAGAAACTGTGCAAAGACAAAAGTTGTGTTTAGACGCACGCACAGAGAGAGAGAGAGAGAGAGAGACAGAGAGACAGAGAGAGACAGAGACAGAGAGAGAGAGACAGAGAGAGAGAGAGAGACAGAGACAGAGAGAGAGAGACAGAGAGAGAGAGAGAGAGAGAGAGAGACAGAGACAGAGACAGAGAGAGAGAGAGAGAGAGAGAGAGAGAGAGAGAGAGAGAGAGAGAGAGAGAGAGAGAGAGAGAGAGAGAGACAGAGAGAGAGAGAGAAGCTCAGACTAAGAGTGACCTTTTCTCTACAGTCCCAACCGCCGGTCCTCTTACAGATCCAGCTCATGCTAAAGTAAAACCATTATTTCACCTCACTGCAATGGGGACAGTTTTCAAACTATAATCTCAAAACATGTCAACAGAAACACCCAGGAGTGTTGCTCAGATTGACGTTACACCATCTTCTGGTGTTAAAGCACACCAAGTTGCCTGTGTGTAGGAGATGTGCTTTATAAATAAAGCTCTCTTGTCTAAAGTAAAAACTTCATGAGGGATTAGATTTGGCTCGTTAAACGCAATATTGCGAGTTTGGCGCTTAAAGAGTTCATTTTACAGTCCTTTTAATGCTATGGTTCTAATTATTGACGTAATAGTATATTTCACTATTTCGGTTTTCGGACGAGAATTTTCATTTTGGTGCATCACTAGTTTTTTTTTGCTTCCAAGAATCAAAATAAAGATAAAGGACGTCCCTTTTCTGCAACAGGTACAGTTCGTAAAGTTTGTAAAACAAAATATGTAAATATTAGGGATGGAACTGGATAAAAAAGTTAATCAAATTAATTAGACTTTGTAATTAAATAATCTTGATTAATCGCATTTTAATCGTCCAAGACAAATTGTGCCAGAGCAATTTTTTTAATGGATAATATTGTTAATGAGGCACAGATGACATACACTTTAGAGACCATGTGTAGTTTTTACCGCTAATCTCTGGATATAGCCATCGAAACTTTGAAAATGAATAAAATGACGTACATTTATTGAAAAAAATTGTCGGCTTCGTACCATATAACCATAAAAATCAGGTCTAACGTACATCGGGTGCAGGTCTAGAGTCTCTGGGGGATGCCATATTAAACGCCATGTTTCCTTCTGGCTGTCTCGGGGTCCTGTCTCTGTCGATGATGTAACTCTAGATGATTGGCTGGACATATGACTTATGGAAGTTATGTTCAAAAACATTTTGGCAGTAAGGAACACAAATTTCATTCAGTTTAAAACTGCTAAACTCTTTCCAAAACCTATGTGAAAGAGAAACAAAAAAGGAGATGCAATATATTTTGGCCAAGTGGTATTGCCGTAGACAGGCACAAGACCCCGAGCAGCTCTGGAAACTATAATTGTTATTGCATTCTCTTGCACACCCCAACATTTACTGGACTGTTTTTTTTAACTTAGCGACAGTCACGGCAACATGATGTAAAACTAACCTGAAATGTATGTACTGCCCCCTAGTGGCAGGAAACTACACACTGCCACTTTAATGAGTATATTTCTGTGACCACGAGGTCAATTTAATTATTTTCGTCTCATAAAGATTTTGAAGTTTTCTTAGAGGTGCAACTTGGCGATATTTATTGACATATAGGGCATAAAATGTGATGCAAAACTTTTCCAGCCTCGAACTGAGGGATGCTTGGGCTCAAACGGGTACAGTTTTAACTAGGGCTGCAACAAAGGATTATTTGGATAATCGATTAATCGGATGGGGTCTCGACACGATTAATCGATTAATCGGATTACGTGGGGAAATTTTTAAAAACTGCTAGGGAAATGTTATTTCTCTCCTTCCTTCACTTTATTTAACACAACATTATTAGAAAACAGTTCAATAGCAGAAAAACAACATGCCATCACCTAAATTGTCTTATAAGGTGTATAGACAGAGACCCTAAGCTACATCTATCTGTGACCTAAAATGCTTGGTCCAATTAAACAGCTTAAGGGCAATTCTCATCTGTTTTGTTTGATCTCATCTGTAGACATTTATTATAACTGGGGATGTCAAACATCTAATTTTTTAAATGTAATTAAACATAGGCTGTGAATTAATCAAAATTGAACACTATTTCCAAAAATGACTGAAAAAATAAGTTGTCACACACTCCATGGAAACTTTCAGAGAATCCACAAATAGTGGCTTTCAAATGGTTTTGTTAATTTCTGCAAGTTTAGAAAAAAAGCAGATGAGACAGCATGTCTGATAATTTAGTTTTTCATCTGATAATATTAGAACATGTCAGTAATGCCTGAGGGGCTTTTATAAACACTGTATAACTAACACTACTGGAGAGGGTATGAATTACACAGAGGCTTCTGGGGAGCCCAGTTATGGGGGGGGGGGGGGGGGGGCGGCATTTTGCCTTGGCCCCCAAAATGTCTTGAAACGGCCCTGGGTGTGTGACTGAGTGTTGAAGGTGACCTGAATAGTATCAAATTTATAAATATTACATGTGTGTAACTTATTGTTTTATACAGGTAAAAACGTGTAGTGGAGATAAATCTACCTACATTTAACTTTTCAACACTTTGTTTTGTTTTGTTGTTTTTATTTAACTATTTTCCTGTCCTGTCTGTCTCTCATCTTCCTGCATCTCCTCTTAATTCTCCAGAAAAACTGCTGCCTGGATTCTTACTTTTTCACCTCATCAGTTACTTTTGAGCAGATCAAAGGGATCTCCTGACCGCAAAGCGCAGAGCGCGTTTTCGATGCTGCGTGAGGTGAAATCACCGCAGCACAGGTGATGAGCTCCGCAGTGGCATAGCACTTCAGGCACAAATAAGACAGAAAATAGAGAACATGTGCAGACATGAACGATCGTGTGCTAATTATAGTTTTTTGGTTGCGCCACTTTGAGAATGGACCGTGCGCCGGAAGCAGCTGCCTGGATCGCTGCGTAACAATGCGCTGTGCCGCTCTCTGCTCAAAAGAGTCCAAAAATGATATAATATAGAAAACTTTTTCCGGTTCACCTGGATTTGTAGGATATACAGTTCCCCCATAATTCGATCCCTGCTCCTGGATGAAAAGCCGGACATTTTCATCAATACAAGAACCCCCAGTCCGGACGCCCGGACAGAGAGTGAAAAGTGGACACGTCCGGGGAAAACGGAACGTACGGTCACCATCCTCATAAAGCGGGAAATTATAGATACAGTATTTTGCTCGTGCCCTGGGCCCTTTAGAGTTCGTGGGCCCTGGGCAATTGCCCAGTTAATCCGGCCTTGGGCGGAACCGGTTCGCAGCAGCGCGAGTCCCCCCCCCCCCCCCCCCCCCCCCCCCCGCTCATCTAATAAGCGTCGCGCTCACGACTTTAGACTCTTTTTTTACGAGCTTAGGGCATGTCTAGCCTGTGTAATAATCCGGGACTTGGATGAATCACTTTTGAAAAGTTTTTAATTTACCCGGACACAGAGTTCTCTCCTTCCTCGCTGATGATCCCGACATGCTTGCGTTTAAGACGCTGCATCATTCCGTGCCATGCCAAGTCTGACCTAAACGTTGCAGGTAACGCATGTCTTCGCCTGATTTAACTGAAAATGCTCCCAAACTTAAAAAGCTTTTACTTTTTTGACTCTCACTGCTTCTGCCATGTTCCTCTTCCAAACAACTGCCAGCTCTCCCTCGCGCTGATCTGTCTGCGCGCAACGGCGGGCGGGAAGGGGGGGGGGCGCTTTTGGAAGAGTTGTGCGACACAACGAATCGATGACGCAATTCGTTGCCAACGCTTTTAGTAATCGATTTTCATCGAATTTATCGATTCGTTGTTGCAGCCCTAGTTTTAACACATTATTTTTGTGTCAATAATGCATTAAATTTCCACTACTAGAAAAAAATATAATAAAGCTAAAATCTCACACTTCTACATACGAGAGTTTGGTTGTTCTTACCCACATATATTCAGGATAATCTTTGAGTCTGTCCAAGCCAGCAAACACTGTGTCCCGGTCTTCCTCCCACTTCCTTTTACAGAAAACGATTTCTAGGAAGTACCAGGTCCAGCCGATCAGAGGGACCTTCAGCAGCTCGTGTTTGGCCAGCACTTTTGAACTCTAAGGAAAGATTAGAGGAGAAAAAAAGGGCATCAAAATACAAAAATCAACATCTGAGGATGTTCCAGAGACTAGCAGGCACAGCCGAGGGCCTCACTGACCCCTAAGACTCCGTATCTTTCACACATGGTCCAGCCACACAGGAAGTCGATCTCAAAGTTGTGGTTGAGGATGATGATGGCGTGCTCTTTGCCAAACTTGTCCACTGTGGCCTGGTCGGTGTAAAGAGTGCAGTCTGTTCCTGACCACCACTCCAGCATCATCACCAGCTCTGCAGAGACAGACGCACGACCAGGGTGAAACGACAGTAGGGCTGAACGATTTTAGGAAAATATTGAATTTCAATTTTTCTAGCAGAAATTGCGATTTCGGTTCAATTCACGATTTTCTGCAAACAAAGGTCCAACACTAGCCTGCCAAGCCATCATGTAGACTAAATCCTGATTTATGCTTCTCCGTCTGCGTCAGTGCGGAGACACGCAACACCATTATCCGTCCTTGCGTAGGGATCTGGCAGGCACGCAAGTACGTACGGAGTCGAGCCCACTTTTTTAAACATCCGTCGAATGAAACGGATTACGCAAGCTTGTGATTGGTCAGGACGCCGCTGTTGTTTACAGCGCCGCCATTGCAAAGAGAACCGAGGAAAACTAGCGGCAGACACGGAGAAGCTTGAAGAATACCTCGCAAAAAAAACTCTAAAAATATGAACATTTAATTCTCCCGTGACTGGAGGAGTGAAAAGATGCGCAGCAAGCGTTTTATTTGTGGACGGAAATGACAGGAAATGTGGGTTTAGAGGTGGGGAGCGCATGAAGCGGTGGGAGAATGAGAGACAAATACGTCCGTGTTAAAAGTCTCTTATATACAAAAAACACAATATAAACACACGATCTTGGACCGATACATGACAGGATACCACAGAACAGAGCTACGCCCTCTGTTGTCCTGCCGGGGAATTGCTTTGCAACACTCTCCAGGAGACGGAGAAGTATGAGAGCAAAACGCTTCCATCAATCCGTGCGTGTCTGTCCCTTGCGGAGCTGACGGAGAAGCATGAACCAGGTTTAAGTGAATAGAAGGTCTAGATTCTGATCTAGTACAACTAATCATTCACATTAATATTTACTATTTAATCATACAATAAAAACAGTTAAAGGTATTAATATTTTCTCCCATTATTATCTTTTTTTTTCTTTCTTTGTGTTTGTGAAACAACTTGTGCTCGTGATTTTTATCTCGAGAGGAGCTTTACTAAAAACATGTTCCACGCATTCTGACACCTTAGCTTGTTAGAACTAACGTGTGCCGTCAGAAACATTCAAACCATTTTTAAAAGACAAGTTGAGCTTTCAAGTAAACTGAAGTGTGCGACTCTGCACTCGCGCTGATGAAGCATAAACCAAGCTTTGGAAGTCAGCCTGAACATGCTCCGATGTGGGAGGAGTCTCTCTCTCCCTTACTCAACTACGTTCTCCCTCTCTGTCCCGGGCTCACCTACGGTGCCATTATTATGGCCTCTAGCAGCGCGGTGTGTGGGAACATAAAACAGGGAAAGTAACCTGAACATGCAGCTCTGTCAGCTGTGGAGTTGGGCTCTGCTCTGGACGGTACACCCCACCCCCTCCCCAGCATTGGCTTTTGCCGCCAAAACACAGGGGGAAAACCCCGATGTAATAAATAAATAAATAAATAGTTACACAACTGATCCTGGATCAGTCAAAACTGCTAAAACTGCAGCTTTGACGGTCACATGATCGTGCTGTTTTAAATCTCAATTTCAGTCCAAAAACGTAGATCGTTCAGCCCTACAAGACACACACATACAACCACAGGAAGTCGAAGCATTCCTAAAGCACCGGGATCTACTCACGACTCCAGAGGGAGTAGGAGAGCCGGCAGTTGATTCTGCGGTAGAGCTGCTTGTTGATTGGCCAGAGGATGCAGGTGCACAGCTGAATGAAGTTGATGATGAGGCCGCTCACCACAAACACAAAACCCATCAGCAGCTGCAGGACGAACAGGCTCTTCAGGTAGGCCAGCAGAGCCATGGCCGAGGAGCCTGGAGGGCTAGGAGGGCTCCTCTTTAAACACTACAACCAACCAAAAGAAACACCATCAAAGAGGTGGAGAAAATGAGGAGGAGTAGCCACGTTAGCATATTCTTACCACAGCGGAGCTCCTTCACAAGCCGCGTTTACACGGCCCGTCAGCCAACACCACCGACCTGAGACAGAGGAGAGGAAGAGTTTCATTAAATACTTTAGAATGACTAAAAGGGGAGATCAGAATCTAAAAATAGCCGCTGACATTCTCAGAGCGGGTGACAAGTCAGCGTGATCTGACGAATTTACTCTTTTATATCTGAGGAGAACAAAGCAACGGGCAGCGACTGTTTGTGACTAAAAGGAATACGGTTATTTTCTGTTTAAATCACAGTGGAGCGGTTTTTAAAGAGCAAGTTCACTCCTTTTCTCAACACATCTGCAGTGGCATCTAGTAGAATGAATCCCTTGTGAAAGAAAAAAAGCTCTGGCGCTCCTGTTTCAGGGAGTAGAAGTGAGCCAGAGGAGAGGTGAGCTGTAAACGGCACGTTTTGGATTTCCTGATATTCCGACATGTCGCCTCTGATGGGCTAACAGCAACATGACTACCACTGACTGCTCTGCAATGCTGATGTTTTATCTCCAAAAATAACACAAACCTGAAGGAATTCTGCTGTGTGGTGGCACTGCTAACGGCTAGCTTCTGTTAGCAGAGATGTTCTCTACCATTTCTTGGACGCTAAACCAACAACAGGCTTTTTAACCGTTGTGAGCCAAAATGGGTGAGTCCATGACCGTTAATCATCGGTGCAACGTAGATCTGTCAGGTTAGGGTTAGATAAATAAATAGATATTAATAAAGAAATAAATATAGATGGTATCAGAGAGTTAGAGACATGAGTAATTTTGTAAATAGTAAACACGGCCCAGACAGAGCTGAGGGTTTAAGGGGAGAACATTTTCAACTCTGAGCTCGGAGACGAACGAGGGAGCATGCTAGGACGGGCAGAGTAAGGAGGACGGCTCTGACAGTAGAAGTCATACAAAATGCTGTTCTGGTGTAAAGCATGGTGCAGATTAGTAAATGTATTTATAGCACCAAACTGAAGAAATCTGGGATTTAGGTCTGGTGTGAGGAAACGTTTTAGGTCAGATCTACTATTACACTCTGTCAGGGTGTGCGGAGAGCGAGCGGTCCTGAATGGGGTTGTTCCCACACCTGCACCAAAGCCCATTAAGGTGTGGGTTAAGCCCGTTTTAATGCCGCTCCAATGCCCATGTCTAATCTGATCTGTGGAAACACGTGGCTCTTAGGGGCTGTTGATGGTCCATCGGTCTGCTGTGTTTACATTTATTCTCCAGGGTTGGAGAATTCTGACACCGTAGCTTGGTGTGGGAACAACAGGGTTGGAGAATAAAACTAAACCAGAGTGTAGGATCTGTTTGGTTCTGTTTTAAGAGATTAACCACTCCTTACAGATTACAACAAGGGCAGAAACAATGCTTGAAATAATCTGATAGTTTTTATAAACGTCTACAGACCCAGCAAAGGTCACACATCAGAAACAGGAACCTAAACTTTCAGCATCCAGATGACACCTTAAAACCTGATTTCATCGTTGGAGTAAAACGAAGCAATCTTAGTCCATCAGTCAGTAGGAATGAATGCTCTGTAAAGTCTGATTTATGCTTCTCCGTCTGCGTCAGTGCGGAGACACGCAACGCCATTATCCGTCCTTGCGTAGGGCTCCGGCAGGCACGCAAGTACGTACGGAGTCGAGCCCACTTTTTCAAACATCCGTCGAACGAGACGGAGAAGGCAAGCTTGTGATTGGTCAGGACGCCGCTGTTGTTTACAGCGCCGCCATTGCAAAGAGAGCCGAGGATAACTAGCGGCAGACACGAAGAAGCTTGAAGAATACCTTGCGAAAAAAACCTCTTAAAATATGAACGTTTAATTCTCCCGTGACTGGAGGAGTGAAAAGATGCGCAGCAAGCGTTTTATTTTTGGACGGAAATGACAGGAAACGTGGGTTTAGAGGTGGGGAGCGCATGAAGCGGTGGGAGAATGAGAGACAAATACGTCCGTGTTAAAAGTCTCTTATATACACAAAAAACACAATATAAACACACTATCATGGACCGATACATGACAGGATACCACAGAACAGCGCTACGCCCTCTGTTGTCCTGCCGGGCAGTTGCTTTGCAACACTCTCCAGGAGACGGAGAAGTATGAGAGCAAAACGCTTCCGTCAATCCGTGCGTGTCTGTCCCTTGCGGAGCTGACGGAGAAGCATAAACCAGGTTTAAGTCGTACTCTGGGGAAAGAAAGCACCGGTGCACCATTTCCAGGAACTAGAAGTGAGCCACGTCACAGGTGAGCTTCAGACAGCAGGTTTTGGAGTCTTACTTCCTTATATTTGGACATCTCACCTCTGATTGGCTAACGGCAACAAGACTACCATTGACCTGCAACATGGATGTTTTATCTCCATACATAAAACTAGTCTGGAGGAGTTCTGCTGCGTGGTGGAGTTGCTAATGCTAACAGTTAGCTTCTACTAGTACGAGTGTGGCGCAGAAGAAGAACCAATCTTTTCTATAGCGCCTCTCAAGATAAAAATCACGAGGCGCTTCACAAAAACAAAATTTAAAATATAAAAAAGAATTTGGAAAATGATTAAAATATGTTTAAAATAAGCAAAAATAGACAATTGTGATTAAAAAATGTAAAGAAAGAGAGAGAGAGATATCCATGTATAAGTTTGAAATAAAGTGAACTGAACTGAACTGAAAGAGGGAAATCAGTGGATCTGAGGAAGGTGGAATAGGTGGGGAGAGCAGAAAAAGGAGAGAGGGTCATACAAAAGCTTCAACAGGTGAGTTTTCAGCTGCTTTTAAAGGAAACCACTGAGTCCACCGAGGACTCTCAGGCTCAGGGGGAGAGAGGTCCAGAGTCTGAGGGCCACAGCAGCAAATGATCTGTCACCTTTGGTCTTTAGCCTGGTGCTGCACAACCAGTAGGTTGAGCGTAGATCTGTCAGAGTTCATCTGTTTATTTTATCAGATTTATTTATTTATTTTATCAGAAGCTCATGCAGGTGTAGGAGACTATTCAGAAATAATCATTAAAAAATGTTTTTTTAGTGTTCCACACCTTTAAACAACTCTGAATAAACCAGATTTTTCGCCTGAGCGTGTTTCCGGAGCGACCTTTGTTCCTACTTGGCCAGCGAGACAAGGATAAAGTTACAGAACATTTCATTTGTAGATAAATAAAAGGAGAAGTGCATATCTGATGATGGCTATAGAAAGTTATGTGATTAATAAAAAGTGAAGTGAAGTCTGCCAGATCAGGTGAAGTTACTGATGTTAGTGGGAATCGGTTTCTGGGAGATTTTTGGTCTTTGCTGCTGCAACAAGCAGAGCCTCAGACAAGAGCTGTGTCCTCCAAATATATCACGAACTTTGCTCTCATTCCTCTCTGCAGACACTCCTCTCTGTGCATGCCTTTACCCTCGAATCAATCTAAAAGAGAAAACCTCAACACTCTTGTTGAAACCAAGTCCTCCTGAAGCCACTGCATGTTGGATTAGAGCATCAGGAAACTAAAAACCTGGAAAATAGTTCATAGTTTTACTCTCGTGCAGAAACTCCAAACTTCTGTGGTCTTATCAAAGCGCCACACTTTATCTGCTGACGGCATCAGCCTGCTCTACTGCTCCACCTTCTACAGCACCCGTGTCGAGGCAAATTAACTGTGTATGTAGCGCTGAAATCCACACGTGCGTTCTTAAAAAGCATGCACATAGGGCAGTCGCGGTTGAGGAATTCCCCCTGCGGTGATTCAGGGTGGCTTAATATTGCGGTGTGCGATATTATTGCAGCACTTTTTTTATTGCAGTACTATCTTAACATAATGTTTACCCATTTAAAAAAGGTTAAAAATTGCCGTGCCTTCTTTAATAACACTTTACTGAATGCAGATCAAAGGGCAGTAACAACACAGATCGCAGTAACGTTTGTTTCTGCGACAGTCGGAGTCCGACTGAACTTAAAAACAACAAAATTCAGGAGAAGGTTAAACTTTTAAATGCAAATTTGGCTGCAGCATCTAACAAATAAGAAACAAGTCCCCATTTTGTTTAGTTGTTTAAAATCAAGCATAAACAATTACATGTACCGGGAGCGCGTGCGCGCCGGGGGGCGGGCGCACTATCATTTCACTTTCACACACACGAATGACGGTGATTTATAGCTCGGTCACGTCCTTGTTACCCACAAGGAAAACCAGCATGTTAACCATATACGGTTTGAGAGAGGATCTGAGAGGGGTGGCAACATTTGCAGCAACACTGAAAACCCTCTCGGATGGTGCGCTCGTTGCACTAACGCACACGTACTTGCGTGCGACTGGCGAGCAAAGGGAATCTCTCCCGGTTGTTGCTCCACCGTGTCAGGGGGGTTCTTTAGGGTGGATGCATTCCTCCTGCAGGTAGCGAGTGAGCTCCAGCTCGGCTCAAACTCTCTTTGGGACAGCTGCAGAAGCAGTGCTTGTCCCGTACTTCAGCAGGTCTCCGAGCATTTATTTATTTATTTTTGCCGCTGGTGGCAGCTCTGTCTCGGCCAAGGACTCTGGCTGCGCAGCAGCTGACGTACGGAAAACCAAAGTGCTCCCAAAGGAGCGAAGTAACGTTTCGTTTTGATACCAGTGCAGCCATCCTTCTCAACATGCATCATTGAGTTGAACCAAGTTCAGTAATCGCGGTGGCGCATGATGCAGCGCGGTGGGCTTCTTCATATCGCGATATTTCATTTTTGCGGTTACCGCGACAGCCCTACATGCACAGGAGGTTCAGTTCAGAAATAAATCTGGACAGACAAGAAAACGGGCATGCGGAGGGTCAGGCCCCAGCCTGGAGGAAAGATTAGGAACGCTGCCTGGGTAAAGCTGCTTATGGCTGGGCTGGACAGCTGCTTCACCTGCATCTCCAACAACAACCAACCACTGCTTTCAGCGAGCCTTCAAAATGTAAAGATCCACCAGCTTCTCCAACTGCACATCTCTGTTCTTAACTCGTCCGATTAAGCCACAGCTTAAGATCTACTCACCAATAGACATAATAGGCCATGGCCAGCACCACCATGGCCCCACAGATGCCGGTGAAGATCATAACAGCGCTCTGGTTCAGCATTTTCAGCTCCGGCTATCCAACAGATTCAAAGTGAAACAGAAAAGAGGCTCGCGGAGCGCTGGACAGCTACAGACCGGACCGCTTCAGAGCCATGATAATCTCACGGGTGGAAAAACCCAGATTATGATGATGACAGCAGAATACAGATCCAGGAACCGCCTGATAAGTGCAGAAGTTTAATGTCCAGAAAAATGTTACCCATCAGAAACTTAAAAACCAAAAAATATATAAATATATAATGTTACAGCAAACCGATAATGGTCTAATAATGAAAGGTGAAGATGAGCAGAAAGGTGGTTTAGTGCTGGAAGGAAGGAGGCACACAAGCAGAGTAAGCAGGGTCTTAGATTCCCATCCTGTAATCCAGTGGATCCGATTAGGGCTGATTAGCAGGCTATGTGCACCCTGGTTGAGTCACATTTCATTAACATCAACAAAGAACATGTCCAGGTTTCCTCCAGTCAGAGTGAAGATAGCATCTGTGACGGCAAAGTAACCAATCCAACTGTAGATTCCCCTGATTTCATTTACCACCAGCTGATAAGGCCCTGGTTTAATTAAAGCGACGGGGCTGCAGGGGGATGAGCAACAGACTCCTGAAACAATCTCTGTGTTGTTAAATGGAGCTTCCTGCTGGTAAAAGTGGAGACATAAGATAAAACTCAGAACTGCAGCTCTCGCTGAAGCCTGGGTGTGAAAAATGATATAACGACATGTAACTTGTGCACTTCTGCTTCTGCTTGGTACACCAAACTTATTTGGGTGAAGCTAAAAGCAGAAATAGTCACCTGAAAAAAGAACATCTAACACGTATTCAGCTCTTCTGGTTGGGCACGTCATCACAGGAACCCCAAAAAAACACAAACTAATTATAGATAATTCATACATAATATTAACTAATGATGTTAAAGCCCATTGTTAGCATTAAAACAACACTTTAAACTTTTGCTGTCAAACAAGTTTCAGTGGTTCTTGAGCCAGAAATGTGAGTAGCGTCCCACTGACAGCAATCTGCAGCCCTACGCTAACCAGAAACTGCAACAGTTTTGTGGTTGTGGTAGAAACACCAGTGGGAGGTGTTTTTCTGCTTAACTGCAACTAGGCGCGTTCCAGTTGTCCTCGTTTTTCTGAGATAAGTTAGCCGGAAACAACGCAATGAACTCCGAATTCTGATCTGCGAGCTCGTAGGTTTCAGAGGACCCCAAGATCCCAAATTTAAAGATGGCTGCGCCCAATGCTACCAGAAAGTAGTTATCGTCTTTATTTTTTTCTCATTTATATGTAGTTTTCTTTCTTTTAGCTATTAAAAAAAACGGTAAGTTGTTTATTGTTGGTATCAATGGTTACATAGTTAAAAAATTTAACACTTTTCCTGGCATTAATATTTTTACATTTGATTTGTAATGCTTTCTTGGTTGTATGTGGCAACTGTCGAAGGGCATGTGTGTCACTGTTATTTAGATGTGGAGAATACTTATTACTGACTTATAATAATTTTGGTGTAGTACTCAACAACACTGGTGGCATCCATTTTTCCAAATTGGAAGCCGGAACACAAAACGAACTCGTTACGTCATTTCCTGCTCAGAAATTCTGAGTTCCAAGAGCAACTGGAATGCACAACATGCCGGTAGCTAATAAAGACTAGCAGTTAGCTTTTTCAGTTTGCTGATAGTCAATAAGAAGCACATGAAGAGGAAGAAGAAGAAGTTAGCTTTTTCTGTTGGCATCATGGCAGAGACTAGAAGTAAGAGTAATGTCTTTGGAGGCAATGCAAAGAGCTAAAACCTGAGTAAACATTGGCGCGGCCTACGCTAGTTTGAGGGAGCTAAAGGAGGTTACAAAATCATGGACTGATGGTGACCTGGCTTTATTGCTACTGGACTTGTAATTTTGTCCAACAGCTTGGATCTTTTTACTTCGTGGATTATTTTGTATCAGTTGGCTCTTGTTAGCGTTAGCTCTTGTTAGCGGTAGCTCATTGTCAGCGCTACCTACAGCCATTATTTTTTACGACAGTTGTAATTCTCCTTTCAACCAGTAGGTGGGAGAAACAGAAAACGTATTAGGTGTTGATTCAAACGGAGTGTGGAAGTTTGTGAGATAAACCAAGCTATCACAATCACAGCCAAAGACTCATTATTTCTGCAGCCATCATATGAAAATAAACTTTCATGAATGGGTGAGCGTTTAGCAAACAGCTGATTCAATCAGAATAGCATCCCATCCTTAAAACACAATAACTACCTTGAAAGCTGCTTCGGCTCTTTGTACAGCTCTGACCACTAATGGGAGATGACTGATAAGCCTCAAGGAGGTCATTTTAGCTGTACTTAGGGAAACAGGACTAATGGAAGTGATGAAACAGCCCTGCTGCTAGGGTACGAGCACTAGCTTGAATATAAACGTCTTCTTACTCAAGATGACAGGTCTTAGATAAAGGCTTATCACTGCACACATGCCTCAAAGTCTCATAGAACGACATTGTGCTGGATTAGCAGATAAAGAGATCTCTGGTTACTACGTGTGGATGTGCAGCTGCACTTTGCACCAGAGATCTTTCCATTCTGCAAGTTTCACATGCAACCTTGGCTTTCATAAAGAAAGAAAATGTGTTGGAAACGGTGCCGCAATGAAACAGGAACGAACTTGGAAACCTTTTAGAAACAAAAGTTGCACAACAGCAGCAACAAAAGTATGCACGTTACGGCTGGTCAATGGCCCCTGGCAAGACATATTTCTCTTTCCACAAGGGTTTAGCGCCAATAGCTTCATGATTCCAGATTTTTAAGCTTATGCTACATTACAGTTAGGGATGGGTACCTCTTGGGCCATTCCCATCTGTACCGGGTCGGCCCGGGCCGGGTAGCCCCAGTCGGCCCCAACCTGGCCCGGTTGATTCCACACATCCTTGTCTTAAGCCCATGTGGGCTGATTCTACCCACCAATCAGAGGCTTGCTCTAATGGAAGGTGTGGATGGGCTGATTCTACCCACCAATCAGAGGCTTGCTCTAATGGAAGGTGTGAATTTGCTGTCAGCAGTGGGCGTGTTGGCCCTGGTCGGCCTGAAGCAGTACCCCTCGGGAAGAGGGCCGAGAATGAGCCTTGGTTGGCCCGGGAAAATTCCAGGCCACCCAGATATGTAAACAACCTACGCTACCCGGCCCGGGCCGACCCGGTACAGGTGGGAATGGGGCTTCTGACATTTGAATCGATCCGGTACTAATTCCCGGTACCTACGAATCGATACCGGTACTTAACGGTACCAATTTTCGATACTTTTGAGTGTTTATTATTTTAATTCTCTTTTATAATTAAATATATATTTTCTCAATATATAACAATATTTGATAAATATCACGATAAATAACATTCAACTGTTTGTATTTTAACATCGTCCTTGTAGTTTTATAAGCTGATAATTAAACTGAAGCAAACATCTTTACTGTAAACTAAATTTACTGTGTATCTTCATTCCTTTTGCTGTCCTTTTTCAATTGATTTTTCCTACTGGGAAGCTAGAATTTCCGAGGAGAAAGCGAACGCACCATTAGCTGATAACAATGGTAGCAATGGAAGCTAACATATCAAGCTAACGTTATCTTAAACAGTTTATTTAGCTGCTGGAGCAGATTAAAACGATGATGCCTCACACTTAGATCGTTGTCACTGGTCTCATCTTCACCCAATCACCCGTCACATTTAGTAAAGTGAAGCCAAACTTTAGAGCGCGTTCATGTTCTTCTAGTCAGGAATTCGGAGTTCCGAGGAGAAAGCGAACGCACCATTAGCGAAACGGAAGCTAACATATCAAGCTTATGTTGTTGTTTATGTTCTTAGCAGACGCTTTTACCCAAAGCGACTTACAATTATTATTATTATTTTTTTTAACCTATAGGGCATGTTGTGATCTGTGGGGGAAACCGGAGTACCCGGAGAAAACCCACACATGCATGGGGAGAACACGCAACTCCACGCAGAAAGGCGAGTTTTGATCCTGCGACCTTCGTGCTGCGAGGCAACAGTGCTAACCACTGCGCCACCATGCAGCTAATTATATTTACCAACAGGAGCAGATTAAGATGAGGATGTTTCACTTAGATCGTTGTCGCTGGTTTCATCATCACCCAGTTACCCATCACATTTAGTGAAGTGGACCCAAGCTTTAGCGTGCGTTCTTTTTACCATGCTGCTCTGTTTACAACTGGTTCGCAGCGCGCGACGACATAACGCTCTTGCGCATGCGCAACTGTCTAGGCAAGTTCTCGTTATGATGGACGGGTACCGAAACGAGGCACCGTTTGAAATTACGTGAATCGGTGCTCAGTCGGTACTATGGAATTCGGTCGGTACCTTAAAAAGTACCGAATTCGGCACCCATCCCTAATTACAGTCATTATTTCCACTGGCAATTTGAGTTTAACTAAACAAGTATGTGCACTTTATTAGGAAAGAAATAACAGAACTACAGATCTAATGCTGCAGTGTGTCACTATCGGGTCAGTGAAATTATTATGCACAGGCAACATCTGAGGAACTATAACACTTCCCTCTGAAATATTTGGTAACCGCTATAAAAACTGGATTTAGCACATGGCATACATATTCAGCTTTACCATGCCATCATTGTATCGTCTTCTTGCACTGCTAAAATAAGAAAGATAATAAATAAATGATGGTTTCTTCTGCTTGCTGTTCAGACCAAATTTTTGGACTAAACACCGAGAGAAACTGTAACAAACCTCTGAGTCTAGAGTGTGGTGTTAAATTGACCCAGAGGCAGGCTCTCCAGCTCTGTGGTCTACACTTTAGTTTTTTGCAGCATTACCCCCACTAAATGCTCCAACGCCAGGAGGGGGCTAAACGTTCAGCTGGCCAACATGTCTCATCCTCCCACCAACCAGACATTGCTCATCCTCTTACAAGCATGTGCAGGTGTGAAACACTAGCAGTCCTGTCTTGCAAACCCAAACAAATCACGCATCGTGCATGCACGTTAGCGGAGTAAAGAAAAACGCATATACCCAACACCTGGCATGATGCAAATGATTATAACTGAGCTGCCAGCAGCATAGGTTCAACTTAAAATAGGATAGGAGAAACTCAGCAGGAAAGATGCTAGCACATGCTAAGTTAGCTAAGTGAGTATAGCAAGAGTAACATTTTTGCTTTGAGACTAATAATAGGAGTCAGTTAGTTAAAAGTTCAGTAACTAAATAATATTAACTTTACCTACATGTCTTAGTGAATGTGTAAATAGGAAGGTGTAGTTATGCTAAGCTACGCTAGTTAGCCTGCTTAGATTAGCAGCGAGTAACGGGCTCCTGGTCTTACCTGCAGATAATTCACGTCGAAGTCGGTGGATTAATTCAGAGCTTTCTGCCTTTTGCTCCTTCAAAGACCGTAAAATAAATGTGTCATTAAAGGTTGAGCAGCTTATCTGAGCAGCAGCTAGTGTGATGGCTTGATGACGCGCAGCTATTGTCGGTGAGAGCTACACATTTCCTATGAAGGTCAGGTGGCCGCTCCAACATCCGGTCCGAACCCCGTTTTTGCCCAGCAGCACTTTACAGCCCCGCTTCGGCGCGACAGTCCGACATAACACGCTTATGTGCATTTAGCTGATTTTCGGCTCAAATCACAGAGAAATATTGATTCATTCAATTTTAGAAAGAATAGTTGGATGTCTGACTTTCTGAAGAGACTCACGTATTAAAAAAAGCATCAACAAGGAGAAAGCTGTTTAAATACTGATAATGGTGTAA